TAATTTTCTTTATTATTATTATCATTGTTATGACTTTACATCATTTATGAGAGACAGCATTGAATAGACATGCTGAAGGAATATCAATTATCCTGATGACAAGTGAAATTAATACTAGTCTTGACACAAGTCCTTGTTCAAGAAGCTGTGAGCTGAGAGTGTCCATCTTCCCTGCAATGTTGCAGCAGAATGCAGCTATTCCTGTTCTTCCAGGCTGTTGTCATTCATATTATCATTGCATATCATACATTAATTAATTGTTTGTTTTTTAAAATAAAATAAAATCACACACTTGATAAAACAGTAACATGTAAGATTAATACCTTCTTTTAGCTTGAAACCTCCACTAAAGTATTGCAGTAGCAAGCATAGCTTGGTAAATAATTGCTTCTTCCAGATGCAGAGCAGCATATCTGAGCATGCGCGACCACACCCAAATTTTGGAGCACATGGCATGCTTTTTTAATTAACAAAATGGCTGCATGCAGCTAAGATGGCTCGATCCAGCAGCCACAGTACCACTTTTTCCTTACTTGAAGAATGATCTGATGGGACATGGACCTGCGCATAGACTGTTGGAGTAGATTGGTGTAAGAATTATCCTTGTAGCACCAACTGATACTGAGATACACACCGACAACTGGATTGACAGGACTTGATGATGAAGAAGAAGATGATGATGATGATGAAGATGAAAAAAGGTGGCTGAACAAAACGGCCGGTTCGCCGATTTTTGGCTTTTCTCTTAGACAGGGCCTAGAGCCACGTTATGGGTACCAATGGAGTCCTCTGGTCAAGATGAGGTCCTCTAAGAAGTCTGGTAAGCATAGGAGCTCGTTTTCCCGGTTTAGCAAGGCTGCAAAAGTCGTGGCAGCCATTTTGTTTGGGGGTGAATCCTACTTAGTAACGCTACCGCGTTACTAATAATTGGTAAGACTGTCTGTTTTCTAACAAGGTATGATCTCAATGATACATGTAATATTACCCAACTATGCGGAGGAATTAAGTGTGGGATTGAGGCTGCAATACATACTGTGTCTAATTTGTTCAAGGAAAATGAGGATAATGGATGGGGAGTTCTGATGATCGATGCATCGAATGCTTTCAATAGTATTAACCGTCAGGCAGCTCTGTGGAATACCCGTATTCTTTGGCCTAATTGTTCATTGTTCATATTTAATACATACAGGGGTTGGGCACCTCTGGTCGTCAAGGATTCAAAGGAGTTTTTATACAGTAAGGAAGGGGTGACTCAAGGGGACCCACTCTCAATGTTTATATATGCTGTGGCTACAGTCCCATTGATTGATCACATTGGCCATCCCAACACAGGCAGAGATGTATGGTATGCAGATGATGCCTCAGCTTGTGCTTCATTAGATGATCTATTGTCATGGTTCTCTAGGTTGCTTTCCGCTGGTCCATCCTTTGGTTACCATCCTGAACCTAGAAAATGTGTCCTTGTTGTTAATTCTAATTATGTTTCAAGTGCTTGTGATCTGTTTAAGAGTTATGGTGTTGATGTGACAACCAGCCATAGGCTGCTTGGTGGTGTTATTGGTAGTGAGATTGGATCAGTGGATTATGTTAAGGACTGTGTTAGTGAATGGGTTAAGATACTTGAAAGGCTAATAGTTATTGCTGAGACACAGCCACAGTTGTCATACTCTGCCTACACAAGATCAATCCAATCTCAATGGACATATCTACAGAGAGTCACCCCAAATTGTAGTGAGTTGTTTGGTCCAGTAGAAACGATTATCAAGGAGAAGTTGCTACCGACTCTTTTTGGCTGTGAGATCTCTGATAGTGAGCGCACTCTCTTTTCTCTTCCAACTAGGATGGGTGGCCTCAATATACTTCAGCCACCAACTACTGCAGATAAGAACTACTCTAACTCAAGGAAGCTCACCACCCCTATTGTTAATGCTCTAAAGGAAAATGGCCAGTTGGATATGGATGAGTTCATAGAATACCATGATGCAGCTATTAAGGAGATTACTAAGACGAAGGATGCAGATATGCTAGAGCTGTTTAATGATATTTCTGCCAGGATTGATCAGCAACAATATCGTGCTGTGTGTAGAGCTAAGGATGAAAAGATGTCTTCCTGGCTCACTATAAACCCTGTCGCTAAACATCACTTTGACCTAACTGCACAGGAGTTTAGAGATGCCCTCGCCATCAGGTATAGAAAACCTTTA